TTAACAGCGTATTTCATGCTACCCCATTCAGAAGCTGGAGAGAAGCTCACAACTCAGTGAAATTCTGCATTTTCTTCAAGCCACAAAAAAGCTCTCTCTGTATTTATCACTAGGTCAAATTTAGTGAACCAATTTTGATGTTTGAAACAAACCACAGAAAGTGAAAAACAGCAAGCTAATAAATGACAACCACATCAAACTGTGGTATTTATCTACCTTTCTATCATACTCAGTAACACATGTCCCCAGTTGTCAGCAACTCTGGTCCAGCACAATGCTTCAACTTGTGTTGTCCCCCATCCGCCTCCTCCCCCCCAAAAAACCCCACACCAAATGTTACGCTACTGTGTGGTCTGATAAGTCTGCTCTTTGTTGCGTGAATAGCTTACCGTGTACTTCAGAGCAATACATTAAATCAACCTGGGCCTTCAGAGAGGCCCAGAACACTGAGTCAATGCTAACGATACTCCTTAAAAAAATAGATTTTAACTGGATTAGTCATCAAGGTAAATTTGTTAGTTCTATAATTTAAACTGTAGCCATTTACAATCTAAAGAACACCACCCCTCTCCACATTCTTCCTCCTATGGAAGCAGGAGAGCATGCTTTCATAGGGAAAGCCTAGGAGCATATACATGTAGAGGTGAGCTTTTGCTCCCAGTATCTACTCAAATTCAAGGCTGCCTGCTGCCAGCATGAAAGCATCTTTTCCCCCATTTCTCACAGTATTATGTATTACCACAATGCAGAAGTGCAATTTTAGAACAGCCATAATTAATTCTTCACACTGAAGGCCACACAAAGCAGCACTGTTAACATACACTTGACTAATTGTAGAATGGATAAATTGTATTCCCAGTGACTTAAATAGCATCACTTGATTCATCTGTTTCATGATACTCTTCCACAAATAACATTTCAAGATTAAATCAGTCAACTGCAGTCATTGCAGTCACACCATTCCTATTTACTTTTAGTATTTTGTGTTACAGTAGTAGGCATTCAATGTGAAACTATTCTTAATTAGCTATGAAAGTGTTTGCTAACATATCACTATTACAACAAAACCTTCACTAAATGTCCATTTAGAATAGAGGGTGGGGGTTTTTTTAAGAGTAAAAAGGTGAATATGTGTATTCAGAAGACCAGTTACACCTGTTCTAAGCTTCCCTTTAATAATACAATTGCAACACAGGTAGTGGAACAGACTGAGGATATTCAAAATTCAGAGGAACATCAAAAAAATTCAGGTATGTCTGTACTACAAATCCTCAACTAGTATAAACCAAAGATCCAAGATCACCTCTGTTCAGAGGCAAGGGAACTCAGATACCACACACTGCATCCCCATCTATTCTCTACCCTTTTTTCTATCTTCTGCAAAGCATTACTGGAAAATTTTGATGTAGGTGTCTTTGTTCTTGTGTTCGCCCTTATATAAAGGTGTTCTCTTTTTGTGCTTAAAAAAATCTACCACCAATTATCAAACAGTGGTTTGATGACTAAGCACAAAGGCCTCCCACCTTTAGAAACTGGGACAAACAATTTGGTAGGCATACAGAAAGCTGGCTGAAAACACACAGGAGCCTAACTACTTGCCAGATGTCTAAAGTCAGAGGCAAGTGCTACAGACAATGCCTCACAGACTTGCCTGTGCAGTAATGCCTGTGTCTATTTGGAGGTGATTTTTTTTTTTTTTTACACAAGACTAACACAGCCAAAAAAAAGCACAATACAAGTAAGTGGGAAGTTACCAAGAAAAACAGTTACTCCTTCCAGAATCATGCTTTTCTTCCTTCCACGTGGAAGGAGTGGAGTAATCCAAACTGGTAGAGACTGAGAGGCTATACTCTGGGCCAACATCTCCCTGAGGCTTAGGTAAGTGTGACAGCCCAGGAACTTTTCACTACTGGAGTAACTTCTGCATTAATTCATACCACTGGGAAAAACCTAGCCCACAATATAAACTGGAATGTAGCTACATGGCATCCACATGCTGTCGAGGTCACACTCAGAATTCACTCTTCAGATCATGACAATACCACTGTTCATGCTGTCACAGGTGGAAGTTTACATATGGAAGCCTGACCCTCACTGACAGTGGGCAAAGAGTTATGAAAGCACTAGAGCATAAAAATCTATTCCTTCTCCAACTGTGAGAACACAGACCTTCTAATAAGTGGTTTCCACTGTCCATGACACATTTGTACCTCAGTCCACCCATGTATCAAAGCCAGCTCACTGTTTCAGCATAAGATTCTATGATCACCCGCAAACAATGAAAAAAATACTCTCATATCAGAGGTGGACAACAGCCACCTCCTGTGCAAGCTCATCCCTAAAACTTCTGTGAATAGATCCTCTATTTTCCCACCCTGACTTAACACCTACTGTAAAACAGATGGGATAGCTTCAGAAGGATCAAATACAGCAGTTCAAGGAAGTAGTAATTGCATGGTCCAGGCATTTGCATAGATAGCTCTGTTGAAGTTTTCAAAGCAACAAATTAGCCTAAAGTCTTAGTAATTAAGGCATTCGGAGAAGACTAATTTAGTTCTCATGCTTGATGTTTCACTTCGTTTACCACCTAGTCTTTGTACAAGTCCTAAATATAGCAAGACTAAGGCAACACCACCAAGGACAGAGGTATTGTCTTCATCTGAAGCCACACAAACAACACAGCACACTGAAGTTATTGAACATTAAAGGGAAGTCATATGTCCAGGTTCAGCTAGTTTTGAGGACAGAAGCATATTATGATACTCATCTGAATGGTGCCTACAACCAATCTGTGCTCAAAAATAAATAGGGAAATAATATCTGAAATAGGGATTAGCAGCAATACTAAAAAGTTCCAAATGTTACTTCAAAACATTGTTTACATTTCAGTCAGCAATAGGTTTGTGCAATATAAAAACAATCTTGCATTTTAGATGCTTATAGATGTTTACTAACAGATATAAAACCCATACTTGGGTAGTTGTGCAAAAAAACACAGAGGATTTTCTCCCAGTTAATGAGTTTGTTCTTAATGTTAGTTTCATGGAGGTTAAAAAACACTACATGTGCTCTGTAGTAATATAATTGAACAAGAGATTAATTTTTCTTTCCATAATGAAGGGAAACAAATTTAACAGCTGACATGTTATTACAGGCTAAGCAAAGGTCTGGATCTTTTTGGACTAGCCCATGATCTAGATGTAAGCAATACAGGCTGAACGATTTAGTGACCCATGTCAGTCAGAAAAGGCTTAAAGTAATAAAACTTATGATTTGGGTCAAGTTAAAGCACTTAGTCAATGGGGCTGAGAGCAATTCAGCTCACCTGAGGTACCTACTAGCTGATCTGCTAAATTGCTCTCCTACATACTGCACACAGCCTGATGACCACCGAGCTGTCAGTGTTCTGATGTTTACATCCAAGAACCTGTACTGAATTGCCTCCCATAATCCTGCTGTAACTTACACCAGCTGAAGTCACTAGTATAGAGAGAAAATCATTAGCTATGCCTGTTAATTTAGATTTAAGAGTCTAAAGGTAGTATTTTAGCAGGTATTTTACTGCCTTACCTGGTTATGACTGAAACACTCTTCCCTTTTTCTTATATCCTTGTTCTACAATAATTTTAGCCATTTATCCTTTGCCTGACAACAAGCTACCACAAAACATCTCCTTGGCTAGCAGTGCTTCAAAATAATTTGTCGCATAAGCCATTGTTACAGAGACACTTAACAATTCACTAGCAAAGCTATGTGGGAACAACTTTATTATGTTGGGGCCAGGCTGCAATGGAAGATAGTTATTTTAGCAAGGACATGAACTTAAAGATTAAAACCTATCAGGAAAATACCAAATTCTGCAAAGTTTTTAAGCTTTGTCTGCAGTTACCTCTAAGCTTTAAAGCTTCATCTTTGTTGCAAAATTTTACCTTCGTGACAAGTTAATACATATAGCATTACAAACAGGCTGATTACTCAGTGACTGAAGAAATAGAACAGATTGGAAAAGCAAGTGACCACAAGAACATCAAATGTCAGTCAAAGCCAAGTAAGTTAAAACAGTTCCTTTCTTTTGCACATAAAAGCAAGAGTCAAGCAGTTGAACTAACATAGCCTTAATCATATGATTTACCATCAGTTACAGAATGAACACTTCCAAATCCTCCTATGCTACAGAAAGAACTGCAGGAGTTTAGTTGCATGCTAGGACTAACAAGAATATTCCTGAGGCTTTAGAAAACAAGCCTCTAAACAGTTTCAAACCATTTGCTTTTAACTTTTTAGCTGTTCTTGATTTAAGGCACACATCACAGAAGATGCTGCAGATACTTTATACCTGAAACTGAATCCTGACATGCATAGGTATTTACCCTGACTCAAATTCTAGAAAGAGAGAACTGTGAAGCAATGCTCTGTTAAAGACATTGCTTTTTCATTTATTGAATGAAGAACAGCCTTTTACAAAGAGAGACAGGTGTGATAGAGAACATTTTGTATACTTCCTTACAAATCAAGTTATTCTGCCAAACTTTTCATTGTAAAGCTCTGTAGAGATAAAAACATGAATGTAGAAAAATTGTATAGACTGACCAGACCAAGTCTAGGTTATGCCATAGTGCAATTAATAAAAAAATATTTAGTTCTTCACTGTTAGGTGGAAAAAAAAAAGAGAGATAGAGGCTTAAAAACAGGGAGAAGGCACTGGATTTGTGTTACAAGCCATAAGGAATAATGTGACCTCCTCTTGCAGAAACACATTGACATTAAGTCTGATCTGTGCTCAAGTACTGAAACACTGGTTCTTAAACTTGCAGTAAAAAAGTTATTCCTCTCCTCTCATTCCCAGAACTTAGAAGTAGTGTTTCAAGCCATGAAAATATGGAGCTAGAAAATACTGTTGAAGCTATTTAGCATGATGACAGTTTTCTGTACAGATATAGCCCATGATAACTGCAAGTATCATAAGTGTAAAGAGCTGAAACATTTGCATAACAACTTACTGTGTAAGTGATAGCTGCCAACATTCCAATCACAGTCAGGGAACTAATGGAAAATGAAAGTGCAGTCAAGCCATCTGCAAAAAATAAGAGAAGCCTGTTGAAAATTCCTGCAGCAGAGGTATCATTTCTTCTTGAACTGGGGTCCTGAAAATGTTAAAGTTCATTGGACTGAAGAAAAAAAAAAAAAAAAAGAGACAATTACTAGCCAGAACAACTCTGATGAAAAATTCACCTAGCACAGCTCTTAGTCAGCAAGAGATCCTCCTCCAATACTGCAAGGAGCAAGACAGCCATCTTGCCTTTGCTCCAAGTTCACAGATGTTGCATTCAGTCAAAGGGTTGACTAGCCACTAATGAACTTGCTCCCATAGCCTTCTAATGCCTCCTCAAGACTTATTTCTGGCTTCCACAGTGCGCTATGGTAATTTTCACAATTCACACATGCATTCTTGTTCATCTTTTTGTTTATTACCACACGATAATAAAGCACTATCCACAGAATCAGGCAAGCTTGGGTCCTTCAAACAACCAGAAAATCCAGATTGCAGGCCTCAGCCTCACTCAAACCACATACATCCAGATGCACAAACTGGAAAAAGGTCAGGGGACTAAGGAGTTACTGTAGCCTTACTATCGCTCTGGAAATGAAAAGGGATAGTAGAGAAAAAGCGTTGCCAACCTAATCCCCAAAGGCAAACTTCCCAATTCCTCCTACATAACTTTTTACAACAGCTCTGTCCCTAACCTCACCATACAGGATACAACATGGCAAGCTTTTTTGGTTAAATAGTAGCATGGAAACTTATAGTAGCTATTTAGAAATTAATTTAAAGCAATTGATTTCATGTTCACATCTAGTCATAGTAACTGAGCTACTCTTTAGTGTTCTCCCCAATGCCATCCCCTCCCCCCTAGTTGATTCAAGAATTTAGAGCACAGTAACTTTTATGCCTACTTGCACAGAATTGTTAGCCAGTTTCCATTCAGTAGCTGGTTTCCATTTTTTCCTGAACATAGCATCATGCATTCACAAACTGAGAAATATCATTTATTTTTCTTCTATAAGAACCTGCATCTTTCTTCTAGCTAACCTTACAGGCCTCCTTCCAAAAAATGCCAGAGACTAATAGAATAGCACAACCAAATCCAACTTCAAAGCTTAAATCTCTCCTTTGCTATTTTTGCTAGATAATACCAAACAACTTTACCAAAGCTAACAGTAATATGTTCATAAAATTCAAATATTACAGCTATGTTTGGAACTAAAAAACTCCAGCACTATTCCCCTTTTAGTACTTGTGAAAGTTTTACCTACATTCTGAAGTTTAGGGGGAAAAAACCCACATAAGTGACTATTTCTAACATATCACACAATGTACTTCAATACCACATTGGATGGTCCTCCTGCACATGTATTTGAAGCCAACATTTAATATCCATTTTAAAAGTTTGAACTAAGTTCAATGGAACATCAAGAAACTGACTGAAAAATGTGATAATTATGTACCAGAAGTATGTCACCAGGCTCTGCCTCAGTGGATGGGTTTGTGTTCCTTTTATAATCCCACTACAAACTGAATGGACATAGAACAAACATCCAAAATTACTGTCTTTGTCTTTCTGCAGTTAACCCAAGAAATACAAAGGAATATAGTAAGTTAATATAAAAACAGGACAACAGGTACAAGTAAAGACATCAGGCAAGAATTTTGTCCTCATTTCTCCAGCATCTGGAACACAAAAGAACCTTTTGCAACAATACTGACTGGGGACTTGCTGGCTGTGGAGCAACTCTACAGAAACCCTGGGGGGGTCTTGCAGACATCAAGCTTAAGATAAGCCAGCAGTGTGCTCTGGCAGCATGGAAGTCCAACAGCATCCAGGGCTGTATCAACAGGAACATGCCAACCTATTAAGGGAAAGAACCATATAGGGAATACCGCAACCAGTTTTGAGGCCCCCACTACAGGCAAGATTTATCAATCTGAGCAAGATAAGGGGAGAGCTAAATTGTTCAGAGGTTGGAGCACATGCTGTGCAGAGAAGTTGAGGGAGCCAGGTTTGTTCAGCTTTGGGAGAGACTTAATACAGCCTGCCTGCTTATCAAAGAGGTGAAGCCCAGGCTCCTCAGTGGTACTTAGTATTTGAGTGTAAGACAATGGGTGACAGTGTGTATAACCACACTGGATAAGAGGAGAATTTTTTTTCCCCACCATGAGAAGAAAGTTAGGGGTTTTTCAAGAGCTAGCTGATAAAGCCCTGAGCAACCTGGTCTGACCTTACAGCTTCCTTCTTTGTGCAGGAGATTGAACTAGATGGGCTGAGGTCTCTTCAGTCCAAACTATCCTATGAAATTAAAAAACTCACAGGAGAATGCTGGTAGTCAGAAATTAAAACCAGACTTCCACATATCCCAATCCAGAGTCTTAATGATTAAAACTTCCTAGACATAAACATTAGCTGTGCTATACTTTCATAGCAGGGATATGTACAGAGCTGAATCTTTAGCTGACAGCCATATATCAAGGTAGCCTAGAAAAATTAACTTATAACTCTGCTCTAGCACTGTCACTACCTGTATAAACAGTTCAAGAAGCATTTTATTCCATTCTGTCAGTCAGAACCTTTGTGAAGTAAGATAAACACAGGCAGACAGCCAAAATTATAAAAACACTATGGACTTGTCCTGCCTATCTCCTGTGCTTGCAAGCACTGTGTGTATTATGATGAAAGACCCTGCAAGGATCTCAAAGGCAACAAGAAGGGAGTCTTCAAGTACGTAAGCGGCAAGAGGAAGACTAGGCAAAATGTGGGCCCACTGCTGAGTGGGGCAGGGGCCTTGGTGACAAAGGACATTGAAAACTGAGGTACTGAATACCTTCTTTGCCTCAGTCTTTACTAGCAAGACCAGACTTCAGGAAACCCAGGCCCAAGAGAGCAGAGGGAAAGGCTGGAAGGAAGATGTACCCTTGGTAGAAGACGATCAGGTTAGACATCATGGTTTAACCTGGCTGTTAACTAAGTGAACTGGACATACAAAATCAATGGGCCCTGAAGAGATACAGCAAGTGCCAACAGAGCTATGACATCACAGGGAATGTCTAGTCAATATAAAATTCCTAGAATAAGTGACTTGACCAAGGCTCACAGCATTGTATTCTGAAAACATTCAGACAGAAGCCAATACTGTGATACACAAGAATGAGGCACAAATATTTGGATTAATGTTTGTTAGATAACTTTTAGTTACCATTTTTCTGGATACATTTGGAAAGTGTCATCAAGTCTGTCTTAGCTCACCTCTAAAACACTTTCTTCACAGCTTTGCTCTAGAAACACACCCTGGCTAAATACATTAACTGCATAAACTAAAGGTTGAGTACAACTTCATGGAATTTGGCCTTCATGATTGTTCTTTACAGCCCTAGCATAAACAGGTATAACAAATGCAAATAAAAATTTTAGAAATACGAGAACAAAGGGAAAAAATCATAATACCCATAGGATTTTCCTGTCCAAACAAACAAACCCACTTCTGAAATAGTCCTTCTTACAGTGAACAGCAGTTATCACATTAATTACGTAAGCACTCAAAAATTGTCATACAAGATACCTTAAAATTGGTGAACATCAGTATGGTGTGTATCCAAGCAACATCTAAAAACTGTTAAGTGGAAGGATGTACCTTCCCCTCCCCACCATTAATATCCTAGGACACAGCAGTGGAATCCTTACTGTCAAATGGGGACTGTACTGAAAGCAGACCTGCCAGTGTCTCCTCTCTGTACTTGAAAGATTGTTCTGATTTTTTTTTGTCTGAACAGAAAGAGAACAATTTTGTTGCAAAGATTTAGTGTAGGTGAGCAGTTAGATTCAAGTTAGAAAACTGTCACCAAGAAAGTTCTCGTTCAGCCAATAATGAGTATGCCAAAACAAGTTAGTAGCAAGTCACACAAAGCTCAGAGCAAATCTCAAACTTACGACTACTTCCAAATTCTTCAAACAGGAGCTTCACTTTCTCCCACTCTGTGGAATTCTTCTTGTTAGGAATATCCAAAGGAACAAAAGCACTGTAACAAAGCAAAAAAGTCATCTCACCCTAATCAGTCAAATATCAAAAGAATTCTGCTGCCAAATTAAGAAAATAGAAATCCACTTACTCCTGAAAAAAATTCCTTAGGTTTACTTTAGGTTTAAAAAATTCTGAAGGCAATGTTTAATTTTATGCACATTCCCCTCAAATTCTGTATTTAGATCAGCAAAGTATGTGTGTAAGTGTGTGCAGAGTCAGGTCTGAGCTCAATGAACAAGTGACTTTCTATTTACCAGTCCTACAGAGGTAAGGACCCTACACTCAAGCATCATTAAAAGGTGTATTAATCTGATTTACTATCCTGGTTTGACACCTGTGCAGAGGAGAGGAGACTTTAAGCATCAATTGAGACAAATTCTCTTATAAATCCACACCTCTGGAAGCTAGAATAAAACAGTTAATGATTCTCACACCAAGCATTAATTTAAATTTAAAGGGACATGTTTATCATCCATAATTACAACTAAAATAAGACATCTGCTGCACTTGATTCCTTGTTCTGTAGTTGGCCCAGAGAACTGAACTGCAAATAGTTCATTAAATATTTTTGACTTTTCAATAAGCAAAGACTAGCAAAGAACGCTCAGAAGAATGTCAGATACAGCAGTCCCCCAGCTGAAAGCTTCCTGCTGTCGGTCTCCCCATCTGAAGTCCAGTAAGAGTAATTCTTCAGCATCTCCATAGACAAAACCACTAGTTCTGCAACAGCTGGAAAACCAGTACCTCCATACCAATCTGAAACTAAAGCTTCCAGATATGAAACAGAATGCCTACAAGTCACAACGAAGTCAGATTTGGAGGGAAACTTTTGGTTAAAGAATATGAGAATCATAGAATCATTGAATGCTTTGGGTTGGAAGAGACCTTTAGAGGTCATCTAGTCCAACCCCCCTGCAGTCAGCAGGGACACCGCTAACTAGATCAGGTTGCTCAGAGCCCCGTCCAACCTGGCCTTGAATGTTTCCAGGGATGAGGCCTCCACTACCTCTCTGGGCAACCCCTTCCAGTGTTTCACCACCCTCATGGTAAAGAATTTCTTCCTTATATCCAGTCTAAACCTACCCTGGTTTAGTTTAAAACCATTACCCCTTGTCCTGTCACAGCTGGCCCTACTAAAAAGATATTCCCCATCTTTCCTATAGGTCCCCTTTAAGTACTGAAAGGCCACAATAAGGTCCATAAAGAATGCTCACAAGTATCTTTTGGACTTTTGTAAGAAAGAGTACATAATTAGATCCCTGCTTCAAGTCCCAATAAACAAATGAATAACAAATATGCATCTTCCGTGAGTATGCCTCAAACTTCAAGTACATAACATAAGCATGTGTTTCAAAGGTTAGTGCTAAACTAAGTGTGTACACTTATAATGGTCACATCAAAACCAAAACTAAACTGGTACTCTGCAAAAAAGTTTTAAAAATTAAAATCTTAACTTTTTAAAAAGTTTTATTTTTAGCTTCTTGACTGTGGAAGAGGTAGATTAAGGCTAGCATGTACTTAAGTTGATGCATGCTTGCTGACTTTAGAATTTTCTTGTATCTGCCTCTAGTAGAAATTATTTCTGTAAAATAGCATCCAGGCAAAAAAAACCCCAACACACAAGTATTAAAACAAACTTAGGAAGATTTCTACTTACAAGAGATAGCAACACAAATAACTGTTTATTTTCTCAAAAGGGTTAAAATAGTAGACTCGGGGAAACTAAGTGAGCTCAGGTACTTTTATTTTAGCATCAGTATGAATTTGCTATCTGTGGACCACATGCAGAGAACAAGTGAGGTGGAAGAGCATCTTAGGATATTTATTACTTGCTTGCCTTTTTCCAACCCCTCCAAGAGCATCAGGGTTATTTTTTTTTGCTGAGACTACCTACAACCAGAATGTCAAAGGACACTAATTAGAGCAGAAGCCACAGCATCCACTCTTCAATTTGTACTCAGCTAAATCTTGACTGAAGGAAATGGACATCTGATTCTACTCTTCCTCAAGATCCATGCACCAAGGGCCTCAGAAAGAAATACAGGAGCTATAAATTCACACACTATAGTCTCAAGCAAGCAGGAATCTTTCTTCCCCTTCCTGAACAGGGTCCCTCAACTAGTAGCAAACTAAACAGAAGGCTAGCTAGCCCGCTTGAACAGACTTTTAGCATCTAGCTTAACAGGCCACAAGAAGAATGAGACAGAGCTAGCATGCCTACTCATCTACAGACCTGCATCCAGTCCACACTCGCAAAGGGTCTCTAAAACACAGCACATCCATTGCACTGGCAGAGCACACAGCCATTGAGGCCTATTCTTTATGCATGCTAAGCAAGAAGCAAGTTAGCAAAATAGCGAAGACTTTTGTCATGTTGACTAACATAGCCTGAGGGCCATAGTAGCCATCAACAGAATGAGAAGTTTCCATACTAAATAACTCCATTCACCTGTCATCATTGATATAATACAAGTCAAGTCCATTAACAGTGGGGGAATAGAGTACAAGTGCCAATACAGGGTTTTACACGTGTAGCTGAGAATTCAGTTAATGCAAGCAAACAGAGCAGCTCAGCTGTGATGAGACATCTCACACTTGGAGTTCTGGACACAAATGAAATTAACAACTTCAGTAATTTTAAGAATAGAAGCAAACTGATATACTGTTTTAAATACATCCTGGAAATATGTTTTAGATCAATATTTAGGCTGCAAAACAAGTTAACCAAATGCAAGACAAGCAGTTTAAAACTATTAACTTTTAGCAAGGCTAAAAACACACAGGTGTAGAGTCAAGTTTGATCCTTAAATCATAAAGTGCCATTAGCTGTCATCCTCAGGAAAATAAATTCTAACACACTACATTTAAACTCATTTCCCTAAAGTGAGCTCTGCTATAATATAATTTGCATAATTATTTATAGTTTAATTATATATGTATTAATAGCTTTTTAAAACCTAATGGTTCTAGAAAGTTTAAGGTGACCAGTTTAATTCAAAACACTGACAGTCAGGGAAACATTCCTTTCAGAACTAAACATTCATTAGCCTCAAAAGCAAATATTTTAGTCTAAACCAGACTGCTGTATAAGGGTGCCTTAACGTAGAATGTAGTATCTCAAGCCCCTTGGCTCCAGCACATGACATTTAGAGTAAATAAACTGTATTTAAGGAAACAAGATAATTTCGATGAAGGGAAAGGCATTACAAGTAAATATTAATTCCAAGTATCCCAGTATAAATTTGTCCTATGCTTTGGTTTTAATGATACTCTACATCAAGTTATTTGCGTGCAGAACATGTAAGTGCTTTTACAGACGTGCGTGTTTTTTCCACAAGAGGCAGACAAACAGAGTAAGTTTGTAACAGACAAACAGAGTAAGAGGTATAAATACTACTCCTTCTAACAATTTAGACAATGCCATCCTGCTCACTGAGCTGTGTTATCAACTTAGAAAAAACCCTTCAAGATCATCTGGCACAACAGATATTATGTCTTCAAAAGTAGTCACACAGATCTCTAGCAGAGCAAGGTAAACATCCAGGTAAGAATAAGAGATTCTTAAACTTCAAGCTTATTCCAACTTTTAAGATTTCTTTGAGGACTGCTGACTAGGAAAGTAGTAGGGACTTCTTGTGTAGACCTATCTTTAAAGGAACCAAGCTATTTATCAACCTGTTTTAATTATACAGATGAGTTGCTAAATCAATCAGAACAGAAGTTGTCTTGATATGAGGCACTAGTCATGTAAGCACAAGACAGACTATTTGCTAAGCACTTAAAAAGAAATACTCCAACTCCTCTTGCTCTGGTAACCTGTGTGCATGAGTATTCCAGTCCATTAAGCCTAGCCTCCTAACATTAAATCCATAAAATTCCACTCTTCTAATGTTGGTCTGATCCTGACCACAATTGAGGAAAATCTCCTGTTACTGCCAGGTACAGACAGTACTGCAAGACTGGTCTTCACTACCACATCTGTTGAGCCCCTCATGTAGAAGCTTCAGTTCCAACACTTTTATCTCCTTTCTACCACACTGGGACTTCTAAGGCTGCTCTTTGCCTTTGCTGTGGAGACAGTTGACTAAGACAGATAACTTCTCCATAACAAGCATGTACATAAACACAGAGACATCCTCTCTATTTTTTTATATATATGTATATATATGTATAAAACACTATACTAGAACTAAAGTTCACATTTTTCTCCAGCACAGTCACCTCATTTGCTTCCTAAACTGAGCTGAATTTTATTCTTCTACAGCAGTGTAACAAGACAAGTAGCAAGAGTGCTTTTCCATCCCAAGGTCATTGGGATGATGCTACTACTTAATATTTAAAATCTTAAAAGAAAGCAAGCAACTTCATACATCTAATAGCAGAAAATTTGTTCCAAATAGAACCCAGAAATACTAAAATCCCTATCAGTATCTGAAGGAGTCCTGCCTCCCTGCAGCAGATACTCCTGCTGTTTAGATCAATGGTTGCAAGCTTGTACCTGTGGAGAAACACTGTTCAGTAACTAACTTAGTCCCAGGCCAAGTACTACAGCTGTCTGGTCTGAAGTCAATCTCACTGCCATATGGCACAGTATCAGAGGGTATTGTGGAAGACGCTGTACTTTACAAGTTGTGAAGACTTTTAAAGAACAAACCTAAGAGCACAGAGGACAATGAAGTGAAGAACCAAGTTCCATCTTACTGAAAGAAAGGAACAAACATGCTTACAGCTACTGGCAATTCAGCTGACACCTACTAGAGATACTGCAAAATTTTCTAAACTAGATACATTATACAGTACATATATGTATGCCTATGACATGAGCCAGCAGTCAGAGAAACAGCTTTTTGTCAGAATCTTTAGGGGTATTTCTAGACCATGATTAAGCTAACTCAAACTCCTTTAGTCCCTCATAATAACAAATGTTGCATTTAACTGAAAGGACAGACTTCTTAATCAATATTAGTGCGCATGTCATGCCTAATAGTGATCTTCAATTGAATTTGTAATGCTGCTTGCAGTTTCAGAATAACCACACTTGCTGCAAACAAGTTACCAACTTCAGCAATGTCTGCCTTTCAAACATAAGCCAGCAAAACCTTTATCATACAAGGCACAGCTATGTCAAGTATAACCCCACACTATACTTGCATCCTTTACAGAACACTTCTATTTAGGAAAGTACTAAGCACGTAACACCTACTCATCTTCCTAAAAGCCGTTTTGGAATGTCCATGAAAGCATTTGATAGAGGCAGAAAACAGGAAGAGCACAAATATTTTACTCCCTGTTGTACACTGCAACATCAATGCAGTTGTAAATATCATAGCCATCATGTCCTTGGAAGGATGTTCACACAGCACAAAAAGGAAGAACTTGGAAGCACAAATACCTCCACAATTAAGAAACCCACTTCCAGTTAAACTCTTACTTTTCAGATACCCAGTTCCCAGGATATTTAAGCCCTAGCAGAGATTAAGCTAGATATTCATTATACAGATAAGAGTGCACCATAATCTACCTTTTTAATCTTGCACAGAACAAAGTTCTGTTTGGGGTTTTTTTTAGTATATGGTAATGTTCAATACAAATACTTACCCAATTAAGAGAAGAACTGCACAAATTGTGATGAATCCCAGAGTATATTTGAGTGCCGTTTTAACCTGCTATATATTAAAAAGAGAAAGTTAGTATATTAGCATAAAGTAAGTCCAGAGGAATTTGTCCAACAAGTTACAGCAAAGCATACTTAGCATAACAGTGCTCTACAAAAGGATATCCACAGAGTAGTTTTAGATACAAGTCAAAAGTATACATTCTTGAAGAGTCTCATAGCTTGAGAGCTATGAACAATGACATTGAATTATGCTTCCATGATAAACTACACACTAGAGCAGCTGTGGCCAGAAGCCAGGGTACATTCACTCAGTGCAAATACACCCAAAGGAAATTCTTATTACTAATGTTTCATATTATGACTATGCTTAGAAGTCTTTTTCTGATGTTAAGGTTACAACTGAATAGAGGAGAAAATTATCATGACCAATGATTAAAAGATTCTTTAAGTATTTTCATTTGAAAAGTTAGCACCTTACTGACTTGCATTTACTGTATTCCCTGGAACACCATGCATGTCAAAAACCTTAGTAGATTACAAAAATAACTAGCTTCAGGTAAATTACTACTGCCAACTTCAAGGAAAAGTGCAACCACTACAGGAAGGAAGATACTCAAATTTAGTGTCTATCTCAGAATCGGTATAATCTTCCTGTCTTCTACTTTAAAACCTGTTCATACCTGTTTTGTATTCTAAGGAAAATCTCACATAAGAAGTTTTAACTTCTTGTGTATGAAATCAGGCTAAAAGGAATTTGCAGAAAACTTAAAGAATTAATGGCAATACAGATGTTAATTACTTATCTCACTAAAGTTTCATTTCATGTGAGACCACAGCGCTTAGAGTTATTAAGAGCTGCCTCAGTATTTTAAAGGAACTGTAGTAATGGACTTAGAAATGCTATTAACATTGTAGTATTCACGTTGAACAATCATTCTTGCTTTCATTTTTCCTGTATTCATTTGTCTTTTCACTGCTTGGTGCATTTGCTAGAGTGAACTTACTGAGCATGTGTTGCCATCATCTTCTTCCTTCTCCTCGTAATAGAAATAGACAAAGGGAATCCACAGGAAGACGCAGAACAGTATGATGGAGTACAAAGCTAGGAGAAAGAATTTAATTAAGTGAAGAGACAAAGTTATATTAGCATTTCATTTACTGCATAGTAATTCAAAGGAAAGAATCAAACATCAGTTTGCTCTCATTCTAGCTCTTACTAATTTCAAGCATTGAAAAGTTAATACAGTTTACTAGCCAGTATATGAACTATTACTGTTTTGTAAACTCCAAAGGACTTACAGAATTAAACCTTTCAGACTAAGGATTTCAGATCCACCTTCAATTCAGCAATGATAAAAAAAAGTAAAAGTAATCATCTGCAAGGAGGTGATATACAGGACTAGCACACTGGGTAAGAGGTAGCATAGAGGATAGCAAATAAAAGCAAGCTATGCCACCTAATAACAGAAGTTGTTCATAGAAAAGGTATATACAAAAATACAACAAACTCAGTTATTTTGATCACTAGATTCCATTTCAGGGGATGTTCTATTAATCTCACTACATTACAGATGGAAACCATGGTTCTGTTATTGATGACCTCAATTCACAAAATAGAACAAGCCGTAGCAATATAGTATCATTGCTTAAACATCCCTTTTTTAAAAGAGGGATCAATTGGAGACTGCAACAGACATTTATCTGAGTAGCCACTAAATCAAAACAGTCATCCTGTCATATTACTTTGACACACAGGTGATCTTAAGAGACTCAAAACCAGTTAGATTAACATAAGTGAAGGGTTAAACTAACACATAAGTCTTCACAAATATTAACTGGCAAGTTTGAAGACATTAAGAAAGCTAGTCAAAATCAATTGGACTGATTAGACAGTGATATGAAGGGAAGAGACCAATTTCAGATCAAGAATTTCAAGTTTAAATCTTCATCTCTCTGTATTATAAGAAGCTACATACTTATTAGGACATCATCATTTAGCAAAATCCTTCAACACTTAAAAATCTTATACTATGAACATTTCAGAAGTCTATTAGGAAACTAAAAACTGTCAAGTAGTACATTACAGTATTCACACCCCACAAGAAAGGTATCCTCAAACAACTAACCAAGCCCTCGAAATCTTAGAAGTACCACACAACCAAGACTACTCAGGCAAGCACAGAATCACCCCTTTGAGTGGGTAAGTAAAGATAAGCAGGACACAAATCCTGTGATCTTTGGCTATTTTAAATCTTTGCATCATTCTGCATAACTAATTAGTGCCTTCCCACCACTAACCCATAAAAATCATCCCTAAATTAAGTTTGTGGCCTCTTATCTTGGCTAGTGCTCTCCTTACAGTACCCACATACTTCAGAGAAATCTACCTCAGCATTTTTACTGAAGGTGGTGTAGAAGCCAAATAAAAGTATCAACACCTAGAACCTAAAAGTGAATGAGAAATTATTTTTTAATAGAATTCATTCTTTGGAAAAATATTTCAAGGTGTCAGAGGTATCTACTGTTTAGAGCGCTGAGTTAATATGGCAGTGTAACAAACAGAACAAGTTCTTGGTTAGTTCAAACTTTTTCACATTTGCCAGAAACATAAAACTCAGGGCTCTAAGACACCTTAAAACTTCAAACTCTGAAATGTAGCATTCTTCAACCTTCTAGAGCAGTTCTCAAACTGCTTCAATATTGTTAATGCTTTCAGAAATCAAGCCTTTCTAATCTAAAATCTGCTTTAAGACTAGTTCTAAATCCACACTGCATTATGCCAGTAAATTAGGCAAATTACATGCATCATTAATCAAAGATCACAATAATCAGCCCGTAGAGGTCACTGCAAGCACAGAAAACATCCTTGCTTCCAAGTTTTACTATGTTAACTTTAGCATACCTTACTCATGAGGTACACCCATAGCTCATTAGATAATGGGACTGATCCATGTTTCTTCCAAGGGGATAGAGGAAGAGATACTCAAATTCAAGAGAACATCTATGAACTGCGTGAAATAAGGCTACCATTTACCACTACGCCAATCAAACATTGGTACTACCTAAATGCTGTTGCTGTACTAAATTAAATTTTAAGAGAACAGCTCAGGCTTCTGATGCTAAGCTTAGGTTTTTTGAATTAAACTGCTGGTGATCCATTACTGAATACACAGCTAATCTATATCTTTAATTGGTTTTACATAGAATGCTTTAAGATCATATTATAAAACTATAAATCCTTTCCTTTCTGGAAACTGTTTCCTGACACTTTCCTGTAGTTCTTCACACTCATTTCCAGTTTTCTAACTTTTATCTGATCTGCAACAGTATATTAGTAGAGGACCACTCTCAATGGCTACTGACAATCAGCTACACTGAACTGAATTTTTCATTGAATTGTCTTATTTAATTGGACTGAGGCTGTTTAATTATAGTTTGTCCAGCCTTCACCAGGTTTGGAAAGAGCTATTCACAGCACAAGCATCTGAACAGTGTACAATAAGTAAGCAAAGTTTTCAGCTCTGTTCAAGAAGCACGACCAAAAATACTATTTTCACATACTGCTACTAACATCGCTGTATTCGGCTTTTAATGGACTGTGGTAAGTGTTTGGTAACTGACTTGTCAAAAAATTTTGGAAATACATCTTATTATCTTTAAGTCATCTATTCTAAGCTTTCAGGCTAAGTGGCGCCTCTCAACTCAAATAGTGAATTAGCAAGCTTAATCTATTACAGTAAAGCTTAATTATGAGGTAATTCTCTAAAAAAACCCTTTACAGAAGTTACAACAGTTCAATACCATAACCATGTGAATACAGAGAAGTTTGTGTACCAAATAAGTGGCTGAGTAAGTACTTTTGCATATCAGATCTGACTTCCACAGTAAAGGCAGTCAGAAAAATGTTCTCTAAACCCATCATTTCAGTAATACATTGCAATATGCAAAGAGTTCATGTAAAACCAGATCAAGGATACATCAAAACAAGGTATTTCCATTCAGTAACAATTAACTTTGATTGAACTAGGCATTGTTACAACAGTTCTGTTCCAGTTTCCTCAAACAAAGATCTTGTTTGCATTCTGGAGTAGTTAAATCATACCAAATTAATGCCTTTCACATAAAACTCCATCAGCGCAAGCCCTACACCTTCTTAGAAAAGTCTGTACTGGCTATTAAACTAGTAGAAGATTCTAATAGAGTATATTTCTACAAGCCTTTACTAATAAGACATCCTTCCATTCTCAATACAATACAGATTTGGAAAAAAAACATAACAGTCCTATAAAAGTCAGTGCAGAATGCAAAAGTGGAGTCAGACCAATGATTCATCAAGCCCAGTACTGTCCTCTCAATGATGGCAAAAGAGGAAATATTTAGAGAAAGTGTGCAATCCTGGTCTCTTCCTGCAGTTTCAGCCATTAGGACTCCCCAGAGAGCCATCACCAGAGCATCCTAGCTTATTCTCTTTTCCTACCCAAAATGAGTCCATTTCAAGCAAGGAAATCACATCAAAAACCTAGCAGCAAAGCTAATGCTGCTGTGGTACTGACAACCAACCACAGTTACTTAGAGCAGTAGTAAGTGTAACTGGATACTGAAGACTCAGTTTTTTCTGTGGAAAAGCTTTCAATTTTCACCCTCATCTAAGAAATACGATTAGGTCAGATTTCTTCACCACATTTGGCTTGGTCTTTAGCTAAACTAAATCCCTTAAGCTGGTGTCACCACCAGATGGAGGACAGTAATTATTCCCTTTAACTCAACGTGGTCTCACCAGCACTTCAGAATTGGAGCACTGTGTCCAGTTCCGGTCTCCCCAGTACAAGACACACATACTGAGAAGTCCAGCAAAGAGCAACAATGATTAAGAGCTTGAGCATCTTAGAGAGCTCGGACTGTTCAGCCTGGAGAGAAGGCAGCTTTGGGAGGGATCTTATCCATGTGCATAAATACTTGTGTGGGACAGGACTGTGGCAGACTTCTCAGTGGTGCCCAGGGAAAGGATAAAAAGGGAATGAGTGCACGCTGAAATATAGGAATTTCCATTTAAACAAGAGCTTTCATTCTGCCTGCAGTCAGAAACTGTAATGGGCTACTCAAAGACATAGTAAGAGTCTCCATTCTTGGAGATATTCAAAATCCAACTGGAAACTGGCATAAATGAGCTGCTGTGGATAGGGAGTGTATTGAACTAGGTTATCTCCAGAGTTCCCTTTCCAACTTCAGCACTTCTATGAGTCAAAGTGAATTTCTACCGATTTTGAAGCTTGGGTTAGCACAACGCAAGCAACCACCACATGCTAACAATGGCTCAAGCAGGGGGAGCAAAAAGCACACTAGCAAGCTGCTGGAAACAGGAGCCCTTCTAGCACAAACAGTGCACTTCCATTTCAAGAGAGCATCTAGCTTTACTACTTAGGCAATACTTCTCACACAGTTTAAGGTACTGACTACAAAAATTGAGTCAAGTTAATTCCAGGCGCAGCTAAAGCTTTGTTTCTGCCAACTGAGTTGTGGAAGTAAGCAGATCTACAGAGCTAGAACTGTCCTCCTTGGTTCTTCAGTGAAGACCTTGGGAAATCCCCAAGTAGAGACTAATACCTTCAGGCAGTTCACAAGCTGGTCAGGTAGTCACCTCCACCTAAAATGAGGAACAATCAACTTTGGTTGCAGTTTTCTGTCCCACAGATGTTATTTGAAGCCATTAAATAATCACAGTTTCTTCAGATTTAGGCTTTAGTAAAAGAACAGAAGCTCTCAGCCAGTGTTGACTTGTAACAGATGTTTTGTATTAAAAATCTTAAGCTCTAATAACATACTCTGTATCAACTCTGAGACAGGATCTGCATATACAACAAGATTCAGCATGAGACTCATTTCAGAATTTTCCATCTGTCATGACTGCTCTGCTGGCACTCTAGTCCTTAACTTCACCTTAATGTGAAAACCTGTAACTTCTAGAGACCAATGCATTTCAAGACAAGATTTAATATTACCACTTAAAGGTAACATTATTTACGTATAGTAGCATAAATCCCAACTTACTGTTACAACAGCTCTGCTATTTGCTCTGTTGAAAAAACCTTGTTACTCATAGTAATTTTATAGGACCTTAACACAGAAAAAAACCAAACTTAAAAACAGCTTTGCATTTGCTTTTCCCAAGCAAAACCATTCTAAGAGACTTTAAAAGTGCCTGTGAGAATTTTAGTTAGAACTGGAATTTAGATTTATAGTTTACACAGTTAAAGTAGTAAAACATAGTTGCTCTTACTATATTGCAAAAGAAACTTGAAGCGATTTGGCAAAGTTCCTATCAGCAAGACAGGACACTTATCTGGTTTTTGAATTTTACTTTTCAGAACTTATGAAAAAAGGAAGAGCAGCACCTTTCATCAGCTCATACAAGTTAGTTACCCAAGGGCGAGCATCTAATTACCTGTTGTTCTATCCACTAAAAGGGCTGTTTATTCCCTGGAAAGCTAACCTTCAAACTCAAAAGTCTTGCAGCAGGAAACAGCCAGTCAACCAAGTAACAAAGATATTCCCTTCCCCGTAAGTCCCCCTGTGACCTTCTGGCATGACAGACTTTCAGCTTTCGTTACTGCATTTCTACAGACTTTAGCTTTAAAACAGGGACTGCTCTTTGGTTCAGAGGTCCAACTTCTGTTTCAAAAAATTTTTCTGTGTTGCAGCAGAACCTTGAAGCACTAGCACTGGAAATATGCTGCACCATATAGTCAATACAACAACAGTTCCCATTACAGAGTCTAAGCAATCCTCAGCGATAATTCCTTGGTAATATTTGACTTTTTGTTATTAAAACAAACAAGTCAAAAGTCTTATTTTCCACCATATCAATACAAAGATACCATAACTATGAGGAATTTAGACCTGGTAGTAGTCTTCAAGTTAATTATAGCAATGGCTCCTTCATTACATTTTGACTTTGTTTTTTTTCCTCCTAGTAGTACGCAAGGGCAACTAAGAACAACACTAGGAACACCGAATAGCAAAATGCAGTAGGTAGAAGGAACCAAGAGTATCTTCAAGAACTGGGAAGATTTCAAGCAGGGTATCCAAGATAAATATAGTCCCTCAAATCCCTTTGAGAGACTACAGGAGGCTCAAGAATATTCTACAATCAGAAGTCTCTTCCATCACACAACTTCTGCTCTTCCAGATGGTATACTGATGCATTGCATAACATCAATACTACTAAGTTGCTTAAAACAGTGCTTTGTTATATACTACCTCACTTCTGCTGAGAAGTCACAAGCTGCTTCAGAAAACCAAAGATGAGTGTTTCTTCTTCCCAAATATATTCTTCTCACATATAATAAAAAATTTCTTAAAACAATTTTTCATGGAGATCACAAGAACAGATATCTTGTTTTCCCCAGTGAAATTTAAGGAATACAAACTAGTAGTGAATTTCAAGTCATTATCACACACTTGTTTGAAGCAGGACAGTTAAAGCAGTTCACCACAGTAAGTGTCAATACTGTAACAGACTTTCAATTTATGTTCCAGCACAGTGATTCTCAAAAATCACACTTATTAGGAGAACATTTCTATAGCCGTAACTCTACAATATTTGTCAAGTACAAATATGCAAGTCTTCGACAGTATTTAGCACGTCTTCTCTTAGGACCAGATCATGAAACCATGTAGCCACATTTGACTGGCACCTACTAATTCCTGGAAGCCCAAGTCCTCGTGTCAATGACACTGTATCAAACACTTGCAGTAAGGAGACAAAACTCCATGCAAAAGTCATCCAAGTAATACCAAGTACTATTTTGGACAAATTCTTACTGAAGAACTTCACCTAGGAACCACCATACAATAACTATGGCTGACTTAAGAAAATACTTCTATTTAAGAAAAAATAAATGGAAAATTGGAAATTTAGCATAGACTTTAAAGCACCCGCAAAGAGATCCCCATCAAATTTAGCAGACAGTCCTTGCCACACTATAGCTGTGAGACACTTAACACATGAAGGTCAGGAGATCTGAGTCTACTTTACAGGAAGACTGGGATCTACCGATGGCATCCTTTCACCACTCACAAAACTTTACCAAAGGACACTGAACATCAAGCTAACTCCAACAGGTAGGATTTACGTACTAGAGGAAGAAGAGCTACAGAACACAGCTCCAGGTTACTGTCAGCTGTTTCAGCCTGATTCTTTGTAGTACAGAGGAAACTGCTGTTGGACTGCTTCCAGTTATAAACCCCTTCCGAAAGGGTTTTCTTCCAAACTCAAGCTGACATGCTGTTTCAGAGCATCTGCCAACCACTGATCATTCTTCAGTCACTCAAGTACTGGCAGACACATTCTACTACAGCTGGTTTTATAAGAATTAACACACTAAGCCACTATGGCTTCAAAGCAATCAGTAGACTGGTTAACTAAGTAAAACTTTTAGGCTACTGAAGTCCCACTTCAAAAATACACTTATTTCAAGCTTCATTCTGAAAGTCACTCTTGTAATTCTACCAGTACAAAGCCATTCTACTTTTGTATCGCTCTAGCCAAGAAACCAGCTGGGTATGAGAGAGAAGAAAACATTGTTCATGGGGACTAGCAACTTTGTAAAAAAAAAAAAGCTTTTCTATACTTAGTGACAGCTTTCTCAGTAAACTGCAATACAGGTAGTAAAGTAATTCTTAACATTCTAAAATATCAGCTAAACCACAGCCTCCAAATTCTTGCTACAATTAGAATTGACTTGGATTGAAGGGCAGTGACTTAAGTGTACCAATTATTCATACCATAAATTGCCAATATAGCTACAGGAGGCAAGCAAGATCTATATAGTTACCACTGCATTTTCAGGAGAGATGAGAAAGTACCGATACTCATGCCTTTAAGTACAAAAGGATATTTCAGTTCTGCTCATCCTGTTTCTTTAAATAAAAAACAAGCCAAGACCAAATACTTTTATAATGGGATACAAACAAAAAAAATTGAACAGTATTACAAGACTGGAGAAGTTGTTTAACTTATTTCTTCTCAGCTTTCATGTCACTATGCTGTGCAACAGCAGCAGGGGACTAGACCTAATGATGCAGGAGAGGCATTAAGTTGTGATTTTATATAGGAATGATGTAGACTTCTGAAAAATAAGTTACCAACTACTGTTCACTTCAGTGTAGCTCTAGTTATAAACACGTGCATCAATTCCTCAAATTAAGATCACAAAAGAAAAAAAACACTTTTAGAACCATCTTTAAATCTCTACCACCATCTGGAGGATATGCTATGAAACAAAACATTAGTCCTACAATATTTCAAGTAGACCTGTCCAGATAGGCCAAAACCAAAAGCACTTTTTCAGGTTTAAGCTCAAATCTATTCCACAAATTAGTTGAGTATTTACCAAGAGACATCTTGCTTTAAAAAGAGACTCAGCTAGCCCAAAACATCTTACAGAAATTAATACATCAGTCTCACAAATCCATACAAAATGGTCCACAGAAGAGTTTGAAGACTGTTCCACATTAGGAGTTGTGAAATACTTGGGCTGTTAAACAAGACCTTAGCAACCTAACAAGAGTAGAAAGCAAATACAAAGCAATGTAATGAATAATCTTTGTGGAAGATAACTAGCATTAAAAAATTTCTTTTTTGAAAACAGACACTTTTCAGGCTTTACTCAGCATGAAACTGCACATTCTAGTTTGTTGCTATCACTGGCAGGCAATAAGTATTCCATAACTTTAAAAAGTCCACTATTTAGAACCAATTATTTCCTGATCTAAAAAAAACATATTCAAAAGGGCCAACCTGTGCTCTTTGAAGAGAAAAAACTTCAAGTCTTAAGAAACATGACCAAAAGCAGGCAGCTACCTCTGATTTTGTATCAGTGACCGAGGCAGGCATTTCACTCAAACCGTGATAAACATCACTCTTGCTATAGCTACTCCTTACATATATTCATAAGTAGTAGAACTTTTCCTAAGTTTCATAAGGACACCTGAAAAACTGATCTAAAACTATACAGAGATTTAGTGAACAGTTATTTTATTAGATTTGATTTCAGTTAATTTTTTGCTTGAGTTTTGTTTAAGATTACCACTCGAATCATCTCCTTTACAGTAGCTCTTACTCTGAATATGGTAGTTTCTGAATACAGTTAAGACAAGTGTTACAGTTGCATGTATACACAGTAGTCAAGTTTCACACTGCTGCATATGTTAAGTGCCATAAAAGTTAGAGCAAAATCATGTGTTTCCCTTACTGGACCTCTAAATACACATACAGGGAACATGTTAACAGTAGATTTTATGACAGAAGCCATTAGCCTTTTCATGGATTGGTCTTCAGTATATCTGCATTTTTAGGGGGCTCTTGAATGTAAAAAAATTCACTGAAGGACACTAAGTGTAAGACTAATGTTTAACCAAAGAGGGATAATCCAGTGTGACCCCTAAAAACTTCATGCCTTCACTTAAAGGTCCTATTAGTTGAAAAAAAATTAAAAGTTAAAAATACTTACTGTAGTATCCATAAAGTACAGTGTCTTCAATTTGTCTTGAAACATTAGCATCAGCCCAGTCCTAGTAACAAAGGATAGAAGCATTTAACATCAAACAAAACAAAAGAACACTTCATTCAATATCCTTCTGATAGAAAAAAACCCATACCTGCTCATATCAAATGCCTAAGGAAAAGCACTAAGCACCCAGTTTGCTGATTTTTAAGTGTTGGGATTTAAGTTACAGCTAATTCACTTAAAGACAATTAAGCAATGTGCTACATTTCAGGAGACAGACACTGCAGGAGTATCCCCACTGCTTATACTCACATTGGCTGTTAGCCTCATACTTAAGGCTTTATTTTTTTTTAGATTAAGAATCCTTAGCTACCATACATTATATTGTCAATGCACAACTGAAAATTATTAATGAATATAATTTTTTAGCAGCTAACAATTTACTTTTGTGTTTAATACATATTTTTATCAAACTGATTTTTGTTCTCTACATACCAGACAACACCACTATTTAATCTGAAGCTCAATCCAAACAGTTTTTCAAAATGTTTTTTAGAAGGCAACAGGAGGTATGGTTATTTGCAGTTCTAGCCCTTTTTTCTATACTTTGAACACTGCAGTAGACATTAAGCTTCAAAGTCAAGTCCTTGCAGGGACAAAGCTGTCCTCAGGATGAGTTTTTACACAAAACCCAACATATGATAGACTCAAAAGCAGTGTGGTACATTAGAAAAGACTGCACAGACAACTAAGCTATATGAGTTGCCCAGCCTTGTAGTTGGATGCATTGTATTTAATTTTATAATGAACACATTTACATCTACTCTGCAACTCTTCAGAAAATATGCATGTGCAAAACATTAATGGAGAGACCCCATCAAGTCAAGGATCCACTTATTTAAGTCAATAACTCTCAAACAAAAAAGCACTAGTTTTATATCTGTAAGGCTGACACCAGGAATTGCTAAAAGAACAACCCCAAAAAATCCCACTTGAGGCTGATGCCTGCATTACTGAATTTCAGTCACACAAATGGCACCACAAACTAGAGTTTGGGAACACCTTCTAGAAAGAGAAGTCAGATGATCAAGACAAAAGTGTTTCCTAGACACAACTCACTAGAAAGGGCAGAGTCAAACTTGATAAGCAGAATTTGCTTTGTTAGGGCTTGAATTAGGAAGAAAATGCTATACAGATGGCCCTTTCTAGGGTATCAAATATCTACTTTTCAAGCATGTAAGTCTAGATATGAATAGTATATAAAGATCCATATTCTTCTGAGAATCTCTATAGTACTTCACTTCCTGTTACTACTGTATTTGGCAACACTACAAGAGAATCACTCATTAAAGAACACAAGTACATGGAGAGATAGATCTAAAAAATGCTACTTCTGAAAAATTACTGACTACAGAGCACTAGCAATGGTGCAAATAACTGGGCACACAGGAATAAGCACAGGACAGTTTCATGAAAGGACAATTTTACAGACTAGAAAGAACATAGAGTAGTTTCGGCAGCTCCCAAGTGTGTTACCACAGTATCTTGATAACAGGGTCTCTTAAGATAATCATAGAATGGTTTGGAAGGGACCTTCAAAGATCATCTGATCCAACCCCCCTGCCATCCCTGTCCCTGGCAGGGTCATATTTCACTAGATCAGGTTGTGAAAGCCCCATCCAACCTGGCCTTGAACAGTTGCAGGGATGGAACATCCACAGCTACTCTGGGAAACCTGTTCCACAGTCTCACCATCCTCACCATAAAGAATTTCTTCTTTACATCCAACCTAGATCTACGCTCTTTCAGTTTAAAACAGTTGCCTCTTCTCCTGTCACTCCAGGCCCTGGACAAACATGTTTCTCCGTCTTTCTTATAAGCCTTCTTTGTATATTGAAGGCCACAGTAAGTTCTCCCCAGACCCTTCTCTCCTCCAGGGTGAACAATCCCAACTCCCTCAGCCTTTTTTCACAGGAGACGTGTTCCAGCCCTCTGACCATTTTTGTGGCCCTACTCTAACAGCTCTGTGTCTTTCTTGTACTGTGGGCCCCACAGTACACACAGTATTCCTATCACAGAACAGTTATAACTAAAACTACATATACAGACATAAGAGTACTTAGACTGTGGCAAATAGCTTTTTATTATGCTCAAACTTATTTTTTTAGTTACCCACCCAGCCATCATCTACTTTTTCAGTATGAACCTTTACTTTTTAGTTTGACCAAGATTTGAATTACATGAATATTCAAGTTAACTTTAGAAAATAGCACCCTAAACCAGGTACTAGAAATAAATTATTGGATTACTTGATACTATGCACACTAGCAGAGGTTAGACACTAATGGTATGCCAGTCTTGAGCTTCTGGCCTAAGCACTGAAGCTCTTTACACAACACCAAATGGCAGACTTTTCCTGAAGTCCCTATCCAAAAAGTCACATGCTGACCAAGAAGCCATAATTCTTCACAGAAACTAGTAGAGTAACACATCTCAAACCTTGCCACAGGACTGCAGGAGACCAATCCATGTGTGTTAGGATTTAGATCCTACAACTCCTCAAATGCAACATCATTGATATCCCTTGTTTGAACAAGAGCAAAAGTTGATCTTTTTCAGAACTGCGTCACTAAGTCCTGGGGACCTGTTCAGAGAATGGAAGTTAAAATACAACTCTAGCTACATTGGTAACTGTACCCAGCCAGAAGGCTGAAGTCAAGTTCTTGCCCCCATCCCTTTTTTCTTCTCCTCGGGAGGAACTACTGGTTTAAGGAAGCTAAGTGTTCTGTAACATGACTGTTGGCAACCAAACTCTGGGATTGAATCCAGAGGTCCAAGCCTGCCTGTACAACTTAAACATATTCCTGAGTTACTCAAGTCTTTTGGGATCCACTCTACATGCAGTCAAGATCAAGAAAGTAGTTATGCAGAAGTAAAATTCTTTAAAAGCTAGCGATTTTGGAGACACACCAATGTAACTGAATTGGTGAGAAAAGAAGAGAGCCAGTACCACCAAAGCTCAGTTCAATTTTTATGTGTAAGCTGTTTTCAAACTGGTAAGTTCAAGCCCTCTCTGTTGTTCTAAAGATGCAAGCACTAATACAGAGCATATGAAAAACGCAAGTGAGCACACTCCTTAAAGACTGCATACAATAAGACTTAAAATTTAACACTTGCTTCATCAGTACTCTCCTAACTGCCTAAACTCTCATGGAATATGGGCTTGATGATGTACCGTAAACAATTCATCCTTCTATCGTCTCAGAAAGTCAGCACCGCACTCCTTCATGTTACTATATTAAGACTTCCAGTAGGCCACTTTAAGCTTTTAAAGTTCACTGTCTGAAACAAATTGCTGGAGCATGTCCAGAGGAGAGCAACAAAGCTGGTGAAGGGTCTGGAGCACAAGTCTTATGGGGAGTGGCTGAGGGAACAGGGATAGTTTAGCCTGAAGAAAAGGAGGCTGAGGGGAGACCTTATCACCTTCTACAACCACCTGAAGGGAGGCTGTAGTGAGGTGGGTGTTGGTCTCTTCTCATCCTATTACTAGTTACTTGGGAGAGAAAGTGGCCTCAAGTTGCATCAGGGGAGGTTTTAATTGGATATTAGGAAAAACCTCTTTACTGAACAAGTGGTCAAGCATTGGAACAGGCTGCCCAGAGAGGTGGTGGACTCACCATCCCTGGAGGTGTTCAAAAAACACAGCACTTTGTGACATGGTCTTTTCCAACCTTAAGGACTGTATGATTCTAGATTACCATCCAACTGGAATTTGAGTAAAAAAGTATATGTGCATTTTGTCATCTAATCAGCAAAAAGAAAGGCTGAAAAATATTTTAACAGAAGGGGCAGAAGCAACACCTAAAGTTTAGTTTCCATCAGGTACAGAATAAGCCCAACCTTTGAAGACAGACAGGCTCAAGCCCAAAGACAAATAAACTGAAAAGTTTCTAGGCATTTGTATGAAATCAGTACAACCAAATTCTTTTGTTGTGCAAGAATACATACACAGAATATTAAAGTGTTTAAATTACCTAGTAATAAAAATTAAGGAAATGCATGGCTTTAATTATGCCTAAGAGAAAAACTAGACTGAACTGAACAGGTGGTACTATTTACTGCCAAGTAAGTATTTGAAAAAAGGTCTCTCCTATGAACAATGGAGACATTCAAAACCCACACCAACCAAGAATAAGCAAGAAAAGCAACAGTAAGACCCAAAGTTTAAGTGGCACAGGCACTTTAAAGGAAGAAGTAGCTAGTAATTGAAATACAACAGGACTTAACTGCCAAACACCTGCTTCTCTTCCTACTCCAGAAAATCATTAATAACACTTATAACAGGATACAGATGCAGAGCTTCAAAATATTGTAATTGTTTTTCATTTTGTTCCTGAAGTTAAGTTGTATACGGGACCAGAGTAATACATTAAGTAATATACATTACAGCATATTAAAATATTGAGATGTTATCTTACATTAAAATATGTAAAGATGCAAACATGTACACAATGGTGAAATGTGCCTGAACTTACAAACTTTACATTACTCCACACAAGAAGAATCTGTAAGGCAAGCCCATTTAATAGTATATCAGAACTATTACATCAGCTTTCATTCAGCTGCTGAAGCCCCACATTTACACGAACTAAGGAGGTAAAAATCCTTATTCTTACTGGCAAATTATCCATATGCACACATCATTAGTAACTCAAAAGCAGTAACCAGTTTATCTGAGCTGTTCCAAAAGCTAGTGACAGCAGCACTGTTTTGTCAAAAGCAAGAAGCACTGCTACCTAGTGAGTTTCAGAGCTCTGACTTTCTCAGCAGCAGTGCTGACATATCAAGTTGATAGGTATGTGAATTTACTGGACGAGCACACCCAGGACTCATTTGAGAACTCATCTGGACAGCCTCTTGATGTAGTCTGTTTTCTTCTCCACCCATTATGGCCCAAGCTTACAATATATACAGCAAATACCTTAGAAGCACAATAGATTAGGAAGGTGAGAATTTGTTACTGCCTTCAACAGCAGTTTAAGACGTGAAAATTTGACCACAAAT